ACACAGACAACCTCTCGTCAATATGCGTTTTTTGCATTGCATAGCTGCAAAAAACGCATAATAAAGAGCAACGCGCACCAGACTTACCGATGCGATCATGCTTTCTGTGCAGTTCCGCTCACCGAACGATCGCCAATTAATGATTTTCACTACTTTGTACTTTAGTCTGCGCAAAAATAATTGGGCGTTGAAAAACAGTAAAAAATTACACGCACCGGTGCATAAAAGCTGAATTTGAAACCTCGAAGGATGAATATCCTTCAGTGATTCTCGAGATAATAATTTACCCGCTAAAGTTTTCACGATGCCGTAGATAATACCCGGGAGCGCGGGAACGCTGAATTTCAATTTGCACGATCGTTGGTGAGTAGGGGTCATTACTTAAAATTTCAGCTTCGTAGATTTTATGGTTTCCGAGATAATAATTTACCCGCAAAAATCTTCACAGGGCCGTAGGTGATAACCGAGAGCGCAGGAACCCTCATTGTGAATTTGCAAGATCGTTCGCAGGCAGGGGGTCATAACTCTAAAATTTCAGCTTCCTAGATTTCGTGGAGATAATAATTTACCCGTCAAAAACTTTCACGGGGTCGTACATGTTACCTGCGGGCAGAGGAAAGCTGAATCTAAATTTTCTGGGTAAAACATGGGTGGAAGACATGCCCACAAAATTTCAGCCTTTTAGTTCCCGTGGTGATTTTACCCGCCCAAACTTTTAAGGGGCCATACGTGTTATCCACGGGTACGGGAAGGTTGAGTTTAAACTTGCAGGGTTGCACGCAGGTGAAGAACGTTCTAAATTTTCAGCTTCCTAGCTTCTGCGGTTCTCAAGTTGAAAGTTGCGGACAAGTTACTGCGAACACACACAGACAACCCCGCGACAATATGCGTTTTGTACTGCTGTCATACAGCACAAACGCATAAAAATATATACAAATAATTGGCCAATGCACGGGCTGCCCGTGGGAAGATATGTTTTTTGCATAGCTCCCCGCAGTTTTTGTCGCTACCGGCATCAATTTTTTCGGCAAATTGCTTCTACTAAACAATTTAAACTGGCCACCAGAACTGTCAGAAAACATTCCCTTTAAAATTTCAACTTTCTAGCTTCCCTGGCGCCGGAGTTAGCAAA